TTGGGTTTGTAAATCTAAATAAAAATTTTATATAACATTTATATAACTTGATAGAGCTATGTAGATTTTATAAAAAAACAACTTTGTGATGTCGAACTGACGAGGTATTTCTGAGTTATATAAGAGCTACTTTTGAATATTAAACTTACTGTTTAGTTTATAATATACAATTTAAACTGTTAAATAGAAAAATTTGTAACCAGCTTGCTATTTTTTTTCTTTTACGTACGTATAATATAAGAACATTTTATTTTTATAGTGAAGCATCTTGACAATTTAATAAATCTTCGAAAGACTAATATCAATGTCGTATACAGCATCATTATACTCAATTTTTGGTTTTCTGAATTGATTGCTGTTTAGCAATAAATCACAATGAATATAAAAGTTCGCTATACTTACGAAACACGTATGTCGCACGTATGTACTAGCTGTTTATTGTTAACTATGTACATAATCTATAAGTGTCCAATTTCTGACAAATCTTACTTCATATTTTGTTCTAATGCTAGAATTTTTCTTTTAATGGGATCATAATTTCTGGCATTCCCATTAGATTCAACACCAGCTTCTATAACTTGCCATGTGCCTTCAAATGATTTTGCAACATAACACATTATGACGGCTTGAGAGTTCGCGGCAGTTTGAATCGAATAATTGCATAACTGTTCTTGAGGTGATTTTTCATCATATAATTGAAAGCTCGGATTGACAAAGTGACTGATGTTTGGACAGGTCCAAGCGCTTAGAACAAAATAGAGTGTAGAAACTTCTTTTGGGAGTTGATTCAGTTTTATGGTAATCCGGTGATGACCTACATTACAATAGTATAAATTTGTATAAAACTATATCATCCTAATTTAATTCATATTTATTGCCGACCTTGTCTATTAGTTTCATTCATAATATCACCTGAGTGTCTGATATAATGTATGTTAGGATAACACTTTTTGTTGTAATCATACGTTTTCCAAAGTGACGTTCCAGCATATATTAAACAAGTTCCATCAAGGTAGTCTCGTCCCATTATCGGATATCCCCAATACAAATCAAATGCTAGATCGGCGATAGAAACTTCTTTCGTAATAGAATAGAGAATAACTACGAGTTGAATGTGACACCCGGCGTGGACTCCATAGCTAACGATACTTTTATCATCTTCCTATAAACGAAGTAAATTTTATGCTTGCAAGAAAATATTTCCCGAACATATTGATCGATACTTACATTCAATTCGACACCTTTAAATACTAATTTCTGCTTTCCACTTTCAATGGCAGTCTTTTTCATCAACGCGATCTTCAATGCTCTAACTGAACTAGTTTCTTCAAGCTTGAATGTGTATTTTTGACCATTCAATAATGCAACATAAAATTCACCGGTCTCATTTGCAACTTCTGTAACCTCTTCTGGTGAAAAATTCGGAATATTAAGCTTAAACGATGCTCGCGTCCAAAATGACGTTATATAATCTATTTCTTTTTGGGCGAGAACTTCATTACATTCAGGACACCCAGGTCCTATTAGGTCATTGCTTTCAGCTTTGTCTTCTAAATATGTTATTACGCACTTGAAATTCGTAGCAAATAAAAAAATAAAAAAATATTATATATATTATGATTTTTAGCAGGTATACAAATAAAATTTTTTAGAACCTCTAAGCACCAAGTTGGGATGTGTTTGCATAGATTCGAAACGGCTTTCAAAGGGAATTCTTTGGAAAGTCTTTTAAGCTTGCACTTTGAGCACTTCATATTTAATAAAATTCAAAAAAAATATGAAAATTCGTACGTACGTATATGTGTGCACTGTACTAATATCAGATATCAAATACTGTATGTATTACATCGGAATGTTCAACAAAACTCGGATAAATCTTTATACAAAACAAATATGGAGCTTCCTAATTTGTCATTATGGAAATTTTAATAGCGATAGTACGAATTTTCAATATGGAAGGGAAATGCCTGACTGGTGATCTCTGTCGTGCGCAAAAATTCGTATATTTTTTCTTTGCTATTCTGCATTTACGGAACCTCAGTAAATGTCATTGTTTCTTAAGAAAGCTTATCTACAAATTTTATTAACTTTAATAAATGTCATTGTTTCTTAAGAAAGCTTATCTACAAATTTTATTAACTTTAATAAATGTCATTGTTTCTTAAAAAAGCTTATCTGCAAAGATGGCGTTAAAAAAAACAAGTTTTTTTTTAAAAAAGGAAGTGAAATGCCTGACCGGTGATCTCTGTCGTGCGAAAATTCGTAGATTTTTTCTTCTGTTATTCTGTATTTGCAGAACCTCAATGAATTCATTGTTTCTTAAGAAAGCTTATCTACAAACTTACTGGACTTTAATGAATGCCATTGTTTCTTAAAAAAGCTCATCTGCAAGATGGCGTTAGAAACCAAGATTCTAAGATTGGTTTGATCACATGAGTGAACCAAGGATATTTTACTAATACTTATCGTTATCTACGTATTATAAGTCTTCCGCTACATTCTAGGCAAAAATATTGCTGACATATGTTTATATTTTAAAAATGAAGAGAAATGAGAGCAAGACAAATCATGTGTCTGAAAATAGCTATGATAGTAATCAAGGAACCGATTCTTTTCCAAATACATTACAAAATGATAATGAACTAAGCAACAATGGTGTGAACGATAAGCAGAAGAATTTGAATTTTCAGGTTGCAAATATTGATGAAAAACTCTCACAGAATAATTCATATTCTCAAGATGTATTCACCGACAAACAACAAGACTTACAGCACCATAGTCAATCAAGCAAACATGAAAATTATCAATCAAACATTGGGTACTACCGAAATGATAATTATCAATCAAACAGTGGGCACAAACGAAATGAAAATTATCAATTAAACAGTGGGTACTACCAGAAAGAAGATTATCGATCAAACGGTGGGAACTACCAATATGAAAATTATCAATCAAACAGTGGGAACCACCAATATGAAAATTATAGAGGAGATCAATTTAATGACGAGAATAGAATACAATCAAATAGTGATGATAGTAATATAAATATTGATCTATCTTTATGCATCACATCAGTTTTTCATGTTTATTTGCCAGCAAACGTAGACACCCTGCAACCCGCAGTTGTTGGCAGTTGTCTCACGTTGGGCAATTGGAAAGAACCTAAGGTTTTACTTAAGAAGATTCAAAATTCGAATCTTTGGGTTTCTGATCCTGCGCTCATTCCGACAAACTTAGAGGTTGAATATAAATATGGTCTATTTCGAACTCAGAAGAAATACATTATAATGGGTAAACCTGTTTATGAACTTGAGTGTTTTGAAGGCCATGGAAAAGGCAACAGGAAAATGATATTCCGCAAAAACCATTATGATATTTGGCAGAGTGCCAGTGAATATAGGATCAACATTATTGATTTGAGACATGACTATCTCTTTGTCGAATACATTTACCGTTATGTTGAGTCTCTTGATGGCTTAAAAGATAGAATTATGGAGTATCAACATATTTATAAGGAACATAGAGATCAGACTGTCCGTGCAACAAATATCGATTTTATTGCGGGAAAATTGAGAAATAGTACCTCAAGAGAACAAAGGATTTTCTTATGTATTCTTCTTGGATATTACTTACTTCAGGGAGATAAAAAGATGATAAATGGCATTTATTTGCCCGAAAATTTCCCGTCAAGGATTATATTAGAAAAACTTGAAGAAATTGAACCTGATTTAATACTTTCTGACACTAGGCACTTGATCGTTAGTGCAATTAGAACATTAGTACAGCACAATTCTAAATATGGTTTTACAACTTGGTTCAAAGTGTTCGCATTCGCACGTGAACTCGATACAACATATTCTTTTGTGGATATGATCGAATGGTATAATTACAAGAGTAAATCTGACGAATTTGGCAAGCTATTAATGGAAGACGTAAAACCGTATATGAAGGGGGCGTTTAACAGAATTACAAATGTAATATTATTCTCATTGTTGATCAGTTAATTTGAATTTTGATAAATACTGATACTTTTTAATTTTAAACGTCTCTCAATTTTTATTCTTTTATAGAAACTTATCTGGCTATCTTATGATCTAAAGTGTCTCATATTCGTGTGGACAAATGTTATCGAATTAGAAAACACAGACAGATCTATTCTCAAAACTTTGAAAGATAAAATAAATGAATTCATAAAACATGACCAGCCTTTTGACTTAAAGAAGCACTTTGATGAATTTTCGATAGATATTCAAAGTGAGGTTGTACTAATCTTCCAAGGAAAAGTTTTAAAATTGTTAAATGAAAAGGGATCGTCTTGGAGCAATCCGAATATAAATTCTATCATAGACCTTCTTCAAAATCCTAATTTACAATGGTCAGAGAAAACCTATACTCAAGCTCTCGAAGCCATATCCGAATCAAATCAAATGGAATTGCTTGATATTTTTCCTCGAGTTCTAAAATTTGTATCTGAATTAGACTTAGCTATTACCAGCCAGTCAATTTTTACAACATCGATTAAATGGTTTAAGCAAAATTGCTCAATCTATTCCATTAATACTTCTAAAGTTCATTCTGTAAATAATCAAGGAAAAATCGCCTATACAATTTTCCACAACCTTTCTGTTATATATCCACTTATTGCAAAGCGTCCAAAAATTTGGGATAAACTAAAAAGTCATGCAAGCGACATTGTTGCATCATTATCAGATGATGTTTTATTTTCCGTTTCAACTTTTGCTGATGATTTTGATCAGGAGGTTATATATTACCTTGAAACGTTAATGAAAATAAGGATTAATTCTTCTATTCATGAACTTGATAATCATTTATTTAAAAAGATCATGCAATTTAGTGATCGTGATTTAGGCATGAACCTGCCAAATAAGTGAGTATTATCGTTTGTTAATGTTAACTCTATTTTTATGGAAAACTTTTTTTTAATTAAATTGATAAATAGATTTTGTGAGGAAATGATGTGCCACATTTTTAGTCGATTGCAGCAACAGACTGACAAGAAATATAATGATGAAGCAGCACACCAGCTTTCATTTCTTGAATTTTCAAAATTTTGGACGCTTATATTTAAAGCAACTGGCTTCACTCAATTACTACATTCTCATCTATACGTTCAAACCGCACGAGATACTGCGATACTATTAGCAAAAATGATTCGCGAGAATTCGATTACTATGGGTTTACTTCAAGAAATACTCGAATACCCTAACTCTATACTTAAAAATTATATCAATTCTGCTGTGAAAAATATCGAAAATCTCAATATTAATGATGAAATCCTTGAAGCTTTACGTGCTAACTATAAAGATTATGATTTAACATTTACTCGCCTAGATGAATTTTACACAATATTCTGTTCTTCATCCTTAATACAAGACGTGAAATCATATTATGATGATTTACAAATAAGGCGCAATGAAGCAAATACAGTCACTCTTGAAGAATCAGATTCTCAAGATTATTGGTTGATTCACGTTGCAACAATTGCTATTATGAAATCTTCATATTACTTAATTCGGTCACAAACATTCAAAAATATTTTCCAAAAAGTATTAAAGATGGATGAACGAGAATTAGTTTTGGAAATTGTGATCAAAGAAATCATTCCAAAAACAATTGAGCAGTATAATCTTATATGCAAAAGATATGAAACGTGGGAAGACATCAACTTTTCTGATGCAAATGAGCTATGGCAAGGAATTGGGCAAAATCAGATTCATGATGAGATTAAATTTGTTGCCTCTAACTGCAATCGAATCACGAAAACTAACGAGAAGCAACGACTGGCAAATACAGTGAATCATTTATCTGATGTTTCATTATGGATGGGGAGACTAAATAAACTTAATGATGTAATTAAAATTTTGGAAATTCCGTGTAATTCAACTCATTGGGTGACGAAATATTTGAATCGTTTAGAAAGTAAAGAGCTGACGCTTGGACAGTTACATAAAATATTTGAAGACTTAAATAATAATTGTGTAAAAAAACTAAAGTTGACAGATGATTGTTGGTCGATAATAAAGGAAATAGCTTCTGCAGAAGATTTCGTGGATTTTCTAAAATCCTTAGTTGGTCATGATCTTAAAAATTTAATTAATGGTGTAGACGATCATTCTGATGAAAGATTGATTCAAGAGGATACTGTTTCAACATTTATACAATTGAAACAAATTATAGAGCCTTTATTAAAAAAGAGCAATGATTCAGCTATTCTTGCAGTAGATAAATTCTTACGGAATCTCCTTAATATTTCTCTAAAAAATCCATCCCTGGCCTCCAAGTTAAGACTTTGTTATGCAAATGCTCAAGCACTAAAGAATATGTATGATAATATCTCAAATCGAGGAGAAGTGACAAAAGAAAAGATTTATCACGCAGTAACAAAGGGAGAATATTTATTCATGAAACCGAATTCTAATGAATACAAATGCACTGCGACTTTATCGTATTCTTCCAATAATTCAAAAGGAAACGTTGAATACACCTTTGCTGACTTACAAGATTTGCGTGGACGTGCTCTATTGATTGCAAAAACACCCGTAAATTTAAAGGCTTTGAAAGATAATGAAGTTACTACTAACGAGATAACCTCTGATCATATGAATGAATTCGTTATTCAAGTTGATCTTGCACAACAGATAATAAACACCGCCTCGCAGGTACTTTATATTTTCTTTCTAGCAAAAATGATTTGCCTAATGTTAAAAATTAGCTAATCATAATTATATTAAAGTTAATAGAGCTTGGTCATTTTACTTATCGAAACTTTAAAGCGTCAACTAATTCTACGATTCAAATGGAAGATTTTCTTCAAGAGTTGATAAAAGATTATCAATTATGGGAAGAAATTTTCACAAGGGCACAGGAAAAGCATTACTATTTGGTCTTTTATCCTGCTCGACATATTATGACCTTTTATTATTATTTTTCAAACAACGGAGATGATAATGCAGCCAAATTTAAAATTAAAGAGCAGTGTTCAATGCTTTTGAGATTTGTCAATGATAAAGCCGAGCTTCCTAATATTGAAAATGATTTCAACATTCCTTGCGAGCCTGATAATTATTTTGATATTCTTTGTGCGATCGGCATCAAGTTGTATAATATTTTTGAAAAGGTCCCAACAAGAAAGCGTTTAATGACAGTTCCCGTTGAACGAAACCTGGAAGATAGAGTCAATTCTGGCCAACTCTACATCGCGACATGTAATGACAAGTTTCGGGTGCCAAATATAATAATGTCCCTATATAATATGCATAACAAATGTTTTCCAGAAGCATGGCAGCTTCTAATTTGCAAATCTTCAACCACCGCAGAAGAACTCTTGATTTTCATCAAGCGGTGTTTTTTTGCTGGAAAGAATGGCTATGGGGAACATTTGTTTAGCATTGCCAATGTGGAATCCTTAGATTTTGAATTGCAATATCAATTAGTGACAAATATACGTTCTTTATGCCAACAAGAAAACCAGTTTCACTTGGCTTTGATATGTTGTCGCGAAAAAGGCATGCATCATCATATATTAGATCAGTTTTCTGAATACGTTCACGTAACTAAAGGTCTTAGCGCAGACTTAATGCGTAGCATATATAAAATATTGTGTCCAGATGTGGTAACGGTATCTTCCGATTTATCTGGTACGTAAAATTCTTTGATTTATTTATGATTTGTTTGAATGTAATTGCAATTTCACTCGTGATCCCAATACATCGATAGGGCAAGGAAAAACTGAATGGATTAAAGAACAAAGTTTTGAACGTGGTTTATTTCCACGAAATTTCTTAATCAGCGATGGGGCAACATTTGAAAACCTCGCGCGGAAATTATCTGCGGTCAAACTCAGTAAAACGGAATGTTTACATTTAAATATTATGCTAATAGATCAACCCTATGAAGTAAACATGTTTTTATTCGAGCTCCTTTCGTTTGGATGTGTTAATGACATCAATTTTACCTATATACCATCTACTAATGTCTTTATTGAAGTTACATCAACTACGGATCAATATTTACTTAATTCGCTCCCAATTACTGGATATTTAACAAAAAAACACCTGACATGGAATATTGATAATCTTATTGTTTCTCATATCGGAAACAGCCCAATTCAAATAGTTGCAAAATACCTAGATGAGTATGAACAAGGCATGATAAATAAAGTAGATATCAGCTTTAAGAAACAAAACAAGCAGCCGCTCCCATATAAACGCTGTCAACAGCTGTTGCAAAAATATTTCTTTGAAAATAATACGAAAGACATCGCATCATACCGTTTTCTTGAAATATTCATTAATGTTCTTGCTGATCAACTAGTTCGAATGTCATCTAGTACATTTTTCCGTGTAGAAATGTTGGAAAAGATGGTTGAAGATAAGAATATTCGAAAAACATTACTAGAAACTTTGTTAAAAGTTTCCATGGACTTTGCCACTCGTTCTGTGGACTCAAAGACTGAACAATTGAAAAATAAAAATTTATTTGAAGGAAAAAACATAAACATGGGGGACATTAAACATTGGGAGGATTCAAATCATTTGTTGGTATTTTTCTTGTCACAAACACCTGATTCTATCTGTGCTCTCTATCGTAACAGAGCCATGGTTCCAGAGAATGTTAAGAACCTATTAAAAAGCCAACATATTCCTGTATCAAAAACTAATGCAAATATTCCATTTGAATTAGATGACTTTGATAAAATGTCGTCCGAAAATATATTAATTAAATTGGAATGCCTAGCGCGTGTTACGCTCGAAAAACGAAATTATCCTATGTATGCTCTTTCTACGGACAATCTTTTAAAAATGGCATTAATTCTATTGCGATCTAGGGCAAATATTCCAGTGGTTTGTTGTGGTGAAGCAGGATGTGGCAAGGTGATAATTGTACACACTAATATTTAAATTTATTAAATTTTATATAATGATTAATCATATGCCCAATTGATACATTTTCTAGACAAGCTTAGTTCAATTTCTTTCAGAAGTCGTAAAAGTAGAATTTCGAGCACTTAACCTCCATGCGGGTGTTAGCGAACAGCAAATACTTGAATTTATGCAAAGTGCGGAAGAAATTGCTCAGCACCGTGAAGTTTGGTTATTTTTTGATGAAATAAACACCTGTAATCACATTGGGCTTCTTGCAGACCTCATTGCTCATCGAATTCTACTTGGAAACGAAATTCATCAAAACATTCGTTTGTTTGCGGCTTGCAATCCTTATCGATTACGTCAAAAATCTGATACGCAAGCAGGTCTTTTGGCCAAAAGATACGAAGAACAAAGTAGACTAGCATATCAAGTACATCCACTTCCGGACCAAATTTTAGATTATGTGTGGGATTATGGAGTCTTAAAAGCGTCCGATGAAAAAATTTACATTAACATAATGGTCAAAAAATTCTTACAAAATTTAGGAGCTGAATTATTCGCAGAGCTTTTAGTTGCATCACAAGAGTTTATTCGAATTAATGAGGGAGTGCATAGTGTTAGTCTTCGAGATGTCAAACGAGCCATCATCCTGGTCAAATTTTTTAACAATAGCTTTAAAAATCCACATCGAAAATCTTTATTTGGATGGAACGGTCCGGACGATATTACAAGGTCTTATATATTAGCATTAAGCCTTTGTTACCAAATTCGTTCATTTGACCGAAAAATACGTACACAATATTGTGAGAAAATGTGTGAAATTTTTAATAAGTTTAGAGGTAACAAATTTAAAGCGATAAATCCGGATATATTTAAAGAAATAATTCGCAAGGAACAGGAAGATTATATGTCAAGAATGACGAAGCCACCACAAACTGCTGAAAATGATGCACTCCTTGAGAATGTATTGGTAATGATCGTATGCATATTGACGCGCATTCCGGTATTTATAATTGGCGCACCAGGGTATGTTTAGCCATCAACTTCACATTTATAATAATTTACGATCGAAAGATGGTAATTTTCGTGTATTTATTTGTATATACAATTTATTAATATGTTCAGAGCGTCAAAATCCCTGGCCATTCGTCTTGTTAGTCAAAACCTTCGAGGATCTGATTCTGATGATCCTTATTTCAGAGGGCTTCCTCAAGTAAATTAAGTTTTACTATTGAAATTTTAGAGTTCTTATATTTAACTTAAGCGCTATTTATTTATTTTAGGTTTATGTAATTCCACACCAAGGTTCGTCGTCGTCAACATCTGATGGCATCGTCAAAGTATTCGATAAGGCTAATAACTATCAAAAGGAAAGTTCAGATGAATTTCCATTAATAACAGTTGTCCTACTTGATGAAAGTAAATAAATTTTAATTCATTTTGTTCTCGTTTTTTTTGTTTATTTTTGAAACTGACATTTTTTTTTATGAAAGTCGGATTGGCAGAGACAAGCCCATATAATCCATTGAAAGTTTTACATTCCTTACTTGAACCTAGTTATCCTGCGGAGCTTCCAAATGTTTCCGTCATCGGAATCAGTAATTGGAGACTTGACAATTCTAAATCGAGCAGAGCTTTAATAGTTCAAAGGTTTGTGATATTTACCGAATTTTCGTGGTTATTTTCTTATTACCCGACTACATTATTTAATTATTGAATCAATTAGACCAAAATTTGAACAAAGTGATCTCATTGATACTGCAAAACGGCTATTAGAAAAAAATAAATTGAAAACTTGGAATAGTTTTCGTAGTGAAAAGCTTCAAGCGCTGGCAATCTCCTATCTCGAATATGAAAAAAATCAACCAATTCCTAATTTTCATGGACTACGAGATTATTATTCTTTTATTAAAAGCCTTAACAATGGAGATGTACGTATTTTAATTAGAAATTGAATCTCGGTTTTGAATAATAATACTATAAGATCTATATAAATAGTTTTTATATAGATCTTACACTATCTTATGTGTAGTGGTATTTAAAATATAAAGTCTACATTATTTATGTATATATTTATGTTTTTTTATTTAGCTTAAATCGGAACTTACTCAAATGTCATTTGCAAGAAACTTTGGCGGCACAGATCAATTAAATATACTATGTCAAGTTCATTTCAAGGATGTCATAACAAAATTCCACGGACGTACTAATCATTTCAAGAAATTTTCAGTTGAAGAGCTTATAAAAGCGAATCTAGAAGACAAAAATGCCCGCCATTTAATGATTATTGGCAAAAGTTATTCGATAGTTAATATTTTAACATATAAGTTAAGGCTATGGAGTAAGGAATTTTCAGAAAAAAATCCCGTATCTGACCAAATTAATACTTGGGATTTGGATCCGGTTATAATATATGGAAGTCAATTTTCTGATGATTTCGATGGAGATTATCAGTATGGCATATTAAATCGTATTATGGTAGGTTTTCGAAAATTTTTTTAACTCTGCGTCATGATATGTATCAAATTTGGTGTCTATTTTTAGATGTGCATTGAGGCTGGAAGACCATTAATCTTGACAGATCTTGAAATTATTTACGGTAATCACATAAATTGTCATACTTTTTATCCTATAAAAAATAAAAACTATGGAATTTGAATCGTATAATTCCGTAAGTTTTTTTTAGAACTATGAAAGATAACATATACCTTTTATATTTAAAATAATAGGGAGTCTTTATGATTTATGGAATCAAAACTATATAACCGTGGGCAAGGAGGGAGACCAAAAATATTATACGCGCGTCGCACTAGGTGCTTATTCGAATCCTATGGTTTGTGTCCATAAAAATTTTCGTTGTATACTGGTGCTCGATGAAAAAAATGTAGACTTTGCAGATCCACCACTTCTAAATCGATTCGAAAAGCAAAAAATGTCAATCAATGATATCTTGGATGATGATATGAAAAGAATGGTTGAGGAACTTGTAAATTGGATTAAAAATATATCAACTTGTGTCAAAGAAGATATGTCTGTGCTGGATTTTAACGAACATGATATTTTTGTTGGATTCGATAGAGAAGAGACGTTACAAAGCTTGGTTATTCTTAATTGCAACAATTCGGAATTAAAGGGTGAGAATGATATTCTTGATAAATGTAAAAAGCAATTATTAGGTATTGCTTTGTCAGATGGAATTGTGCGATCAAGACAATCAATGCTATCATCCATAAATCCGATAGAAGTTGATCATTGGTATAATTTCTATTTTCACCAACAATATAATCATGATATTTCTACATATATTAGATCTATGCTAGATAACTATAAAGTTACAGAGGGGACGCAAGGATTTAAAACGATTATTAACACATTTTCAAACATCAATGCCGACATAAATTCTTACTTGAGCGGCATTATAACGTGTCAAATTGACAAAATCTCAACATTCAAATCTGAAGCTCAACTGCAGTCCCGCATTAAATATTTTTGGCAAGAGTCAGAGGCTGAACTATTAATATTACAGTGCGATCTGACAACCATAAATGCTGGATGCATAAAACTTGCAAAATTCCTTATTGAACAACATAATAACGATTCCATATTGCAAGAACAAACTAAACATGTTTGTATAATTCTTCATATGAAAAGAGAAAATGACAAACCTACTATATCATCATTCAATTTCATGTGCGGATGGGACCTAATTACCATAGAGAATTTGACAAAGCAGGAATATCCTTTATCAACTTATTTGAATGGAAGTTTGAATGACATTTTAAATATAACGAACGCATTTGATGAAATTATTAATCAAGATTTATTATGGTGTTTATTGTGTATGAAATTTCAATCATCCGATGAATCAGCTAATTATATAACGTAAGTATTAAATATTTTTAAGCATATTTTAAATTTTGCATAAATTTTTAATATTATTTATTGCTAGATCACTTGCTTATAAAATTCCGGATCATGTAAAATTTTTGGATTTCCTAAAAACCAGAACATTCAACTGGTGTAAAGATAATATACCTGAAAATTGGCAGTTAACCGTAGCAATTGACAAGACTTATCTATATTTATATTCTTCATTTTCAATAGCCCTCCAAACATATGTCCATGAACAAACAAGAAAACCAATTGCCCAACTTCTTTGTGCGCTAGAGAAGTTATCGGGTCTATCTACAATCATTTTCAGCGACGATGATATAAGTCTTTTCGAATTTTGGGAAAAAATCTTCATGGATACTAAAATAGTCAGCATCGAATTTATGGTTGAGCCAAAGCCAGACGTTTACTTTGTACCAAACAAAGGATATGGATTGAAATTTCCATTCTCGACATATTTTATGGAGCAAATCAATAAATTCAAGAGATTGTATCAACAAGATCTGGAAATTTTAGCGGAAGAAAAAGAAAATTTTGATGAAGAAACTGGAGAGCTAAAAGCAATAATTATAAATGATTGCACTGAAAGATTTTCTAACAACATTATGAATGTATTTCCACTATTTAAGATGCCATATTTCTATGATGCAGCAGACCTTTATTTCAAGGATTTTATTTCTATTATCTCACCCTTATCTAATGATGCGGATAATGAATTATTATGTTGGATCATCTCTCATAATATGAAACAGCGTGTGCCTAACCCTATTAGACTTCATGTGTACTGGTGGTATAATGCTGATTTCATTCTAGCTGAATTACAATTAACCTTGTTATTTCCTGATATTAAAGAAAAAGTGCTTGGCACAGAATTTGATGAAAGCCTGGAATTAAACTTTGAAGATTTCTTATTGGAGCAAGTATCAGAGATGATGATGGAAGATCTTTGTAATGTCAACCTAGACGATCAAACGGATGACACAATTTATACACAAAATCACCTTCAACTTTGGCAGAGTAAAGTTACAAATTTTTTATCACTATCTAATAAATTATCGAGCTCCTTTGATAACCCGACATTACTTAAACTACGCGTATATAATGATTTATCGAAATCACTACCTTTCGCGAAACTTATCGAAATTAGAAATTTCGAATCGGAATTAGGCAATGAAGACATGTTTTCTGAACAGTTTATAGAAATTGTATTTGAAAAATTAAATGAAATGGAGCAAACGGAACAAAATCTGTCAACTAGAAGATCTTTTGTTTATAGGTGTTTAGGAGTACTCGAATATGATTCACCTGTTCGCCTTAATTTCTACATGAAAATTTTTTCCCAAGATCCATTGCCTTTAACATTTGTTACTATTTACAACATATTCTACATTGAAACTTTGGAAAAAGATGATATATTCCTCAATTTGATTGATAATCCACTCGAAGTGTTGGAAAATTCAGAACAACTACAAACCATTGAAGACGAACTATCTAAACAAACAGATTCATCAATGGAGGCATTATGCTGCGATGTGATTCAAACGAAATTTTTTATAACATGCGAATTCAGTCAACTTGCGCAATATTATTTGAAAGCAACAGAAATTCTGATCACAAATGATGTTAAAGCATTGCAACTTATTTCTGCGATTGCACTTTTAAAAACTTTTGCGAATAAACTTTGGAACTCTACTGTAAAGCAAATATCCTTGACTGATCCATTGGAATTTAAATTTGAAGCTGACGAATTTAGTATTGATTATTTGAACAATCGATTGGTATTGGATCAACCCTTGATTCATTCATTCAAAGTATACTTGTTGAAGTCATTACGACTTAAAGGATTATCTATCAATGATATAAACCAATTTTGTGAAACACAACAGCAGCTGCTCCCATGGCTCGGCGTACTACAATGGGATGGTCATGAAAGCCGTCTTGATTTTAATCCATATTGGTGCCTTGATGATTACAAACAAGCTGAATTGGCATCAAATAAAATTATTATAGGAGATAAATCACATTTGAATGAAATACTACATGAAATATCGGATCCAAATGTAAATAATATAGTTGCAAAAAAAGTTTCCCTTGCAGGGATGATCATAACAAAATTCTATCTTATTCAAGCTTCTCGTGAATTGAAACAATCAGAAAATTATTTATCTCATCAAATTATTGAATGCTTGAATTTATCACAACTACCTACCGTTTATAAAAATAATCTTTTTAATTTCTTGTCAAATAAGTATCCATTTCGTAAGATCACTACCAATGATGACAATACTAAACTATTTATATCTTCAGTTATTGCGCATGTTGTAGCGTTGCATATTTCAATTCCGGTCAATGCTTCTCCATTGGCTGCATACATGCAAAATTTACCAAATTACGCGAATACTTTTATATTAACATGTCCATCTAATGAGCAATCGGTGTTACTTAATTTATTGATTGCTGAGACGTTACAAGATCCAGAATACAACTATAAAGGACTTACAAGGTATAATTTTTCTTATGTTCTTGAATATGTTTGCATAAATCATTTGTTTTCTGCAATAATTAATACATAAATCTACTAGATATGTATGTCCTTGTGGATATATTTATGTTGTTGTTGATTGTGGAAATGTAGCAAAAGAAGAAAGCAAATGCCCTACTTGTAAAAACGTGATTGGTGCTGTAAATGGACAATATGGTAAAGCTGCTCAGGGAACTATTCGTCTGGATGAGAAACCTTTAATACAAACAGTCAATGACCAGGATGAGCAAGGGTATATTATAGAGACGCGAAAAACCGAAGATTATTACAGTGTCCGATCGATGTCTCCCGCTGCATATAGAATCCTCCATCTATTTGTACATGCCATAATTGGTATACAGGCGCCTTCGGATATTGTCACAGACTTTATTACAAATAAAAAGAATGTAAATGAAGTCGGTGATATAATAAATTATTGTGAAAGACATATAAATAATGATTGGGAAACATTGAAAAATATTTTAGCCTGCGGGGATGAACATTTATCGCTGGTTATTCATTCCATACTTTCAGAGATGTCACAAGATAACCTACAGGTAGTCGAAAAATTTACGACACCTATTCAAAGAGAAGCTTGGGAAACACAGTTTAGCCAGCGGTATGTTTCTCCAAGAATAAAAAACGCCATCGGGACTGCTACAGATTTTCGTAAGGCGATGGCTTCAAGCACCCCGAAAATTGAAGACGAAATTAATGAAATAGTTGTGGTCAATGACAACTACAGTAAGGATTACTTACCACGTTTGTGGCGTTTGATTGGAGAGACAAGCATGAATAGTTTTAGAGCCTATTATTCATGTAACAATGAATATACAAAGTCATTCCCATTCTTAAATGTCTTTTTAAAGCATGAAAAATATTTATCGCTTATTAAACATATTTTACCTATTGTAAAATTTACACAAATTTTGTCATCAAGTCTTTCATATCGTATTGAAAGGCAGGATGCGCGTAAATTAACTTTTCAACAATTCATCATCAATGAAAGTGAAGGTGATGATACTGGAGAAACTATGAGGTCATTAAATGAAGCATTTAATAGTTTTGCTGAATCATGGAATATTTTGGCTCCACATATTAAACGATATGGTTGTACTGAGCTATCAAAGGCAATGTCAACAATAAATGACAATTCCTCGATTACTTATGGTTTGTTGGAACCACTTAATGAATCTATATTTATATGCGCTACAATGGATTTTGGGATTAAACTGCAAAATAATTTTCTCAAAGATACTTTAGCAATTCCTCCAGGAGCTTGTAAATCTTTAAAATTTTTGGAGCATGCAAACATCAATATCAATGAACAAAACCAAACTACTGTCGGTTATCACATGCAATCAATTTCACTTGAGAATGCTTCGGAAAACCATATAGTGAAATATGATTTTGAGAATTTTAGTAATGAAAATTTCAAATTTAGTCAATTTGACTTAAGAATTGGATATGGTCAAGAAATCCAATATGATCTGCATAAGATTGAGGCTGAATTAGCTCTAGCTTTAGTATATGAGAAAAAATTTATTGAGGTTAACAAGCAAGGATTATATTTAGATACTTTTATTTACCACAAAGAAATGTTTAATGAATCTATGACAATCTTGCGTGATATCAAAGACTTAGTAACACAGGAACCAATTCCAGATGATAAAAAATCAATATTTGTAGGTTCGTCTGGTATGCATTCATTTAATGATAATGTAGAAGGAACGTCTGCATTGGAGAATCCCAATGAATTACTTTCAACTTTGGAAATGATTCTCTGTTTTCTTAAATATACTTCTGGTGGAGATTGTAACATGCTAATTACAGAATACGTAGCACAATGGATGAAATTATCAGTATTAAAGGAGAATAACAGCAGTTATAAATTGCTATTGAAAGCGGGACTACAACTCAAGCATATAGTTGCACTATATGAATTGGTTGAAGAACAAGTTGCAGATATAGTCATTAACTATATTCCCACAAAATATCGGGCTGAGTTGAGTGATCTAATACAGCAAGATATTATGGAATCAATCGATCTTGACCAAGAACAACAGACCTCAAAATCTGCAACTGCTACTAAAATTCCAGCAAAGGCATTTATGATAGCTCTGAAAAGATTTGTCATAAGATATTTGTCTAATAATGCCCGAGAATTATTTACTGAAAAATCTCCTTTATCATCTTATCTTGTTGATAATGATTCTCTTGAATGCTGGCCCGATAACGTTTCTAAAGATATTATTATTGATAAATTTCCAAAATCATTATATATTTCTCATGCCTTTGCAACCTACCAATTAATTAAAAAGGAAATAGAGGTAACAAAATTCAGCTTGTTATTATATTGGTTTAAAAATAATTATTTTTATTAATCAAATATATCTATATAGAAAATACAAGCTGCCAAGCAAGAAGCTCAAAATAAAAAAATTAAAGCTAACCAACATAAGTCACCAATTAAATCAAAAAGGCTTCTAAATTTAAATAAGACTTAAAAATTGAATATCTTAAACTATAGTTTGCAATATAAATATTAATTTATACAGCTGCTTATTTAACATCTATTACATATTTTCAGTTTACCAAATAAAGTTTAATATTAAAAAATATAAATCTATGATAGTGATTTCAGAAATTTTTTAAATTGGAACAGTAAAGGTGAATTGAACCCAAAAATGACTAGATGTACGTACTATTATTGGAGATGGGCATGCGCGCGTAATCCGTGCATGATTTTGCACGTGATGCGCGGGATTTTCAATATTATCCCAGATAAAATTATCTGGCCGGCATTACCATATCGTCTGACTGGCATTAATCTAATATCTGGCCTGGATTAACATATTTACAGTAAAATTCTCGAAATAATGGGCATGGGCGTTATTTCGATTTTTGGCCCAAATTAATCTTAGTTTGAGCCGAAATTCGAAATAATGCCCATACCCTATTTCGAAAATTCACGGTAGAACAAGAAATTTGATTTTCAATAATAATTTTTTCATGATTTTTATCGGACACAAAAAATTAAGAAACCTTCAGATTTGTTATCCTATTCCGTGCGTAACACGCGGGATTTTGATACGACCAGGGCGGCCCTAAAAATTACGGGTCATATGATTATGCCGCAGCTGCAGGTAGATGGATCATTTATTTCGAACTGACCAATGAGGGAAGTCAAGATGAACGATCGATTATCAA